CTGTTCCGAGCTGAGGGCATTCGGTAGCAACAGTGTATTAGTTATACCACTGTTCGGCAATGAGCCTGGGTGCAATGATAACAACTTAATGGGTGTCATCATCTTGAAACGCTGGCTTGGGTGGGTTGATCAGTACAGAAATTTCCATATCGTGTATTATTTGCCGATGCTGGACTGGTTGAAAAAACCGGTGATGGTCAGTTAAAGACATTATCCCGTGGAATGAAAAGTTGTGTAGAACTGGTATCTATCGGCCCATTGCGAATCCCTGTTTGGGGTCCGAGAGATGACGCAACTCAGTGGCTTGAAGAGCTATAAGAAACGGCTCACAGCAGGGACTTATGAGAGTAATGTTGTAATTTTCTTTCACATTAATCGTAAAAGTGAGATGGACTTATTTAACTGAAGGGATTTTTTCTGGTTGCATTTTTCTTAACTGTATAGTTCCTTCCATCACTTTCTTTTATTCATTTATTCTTCTATCTTTTCAGTCACATTTTCTTATTGTGTGGCACATTTCGGTGTTTATTTGAAGCAGTGTTTATATCTTAAAATAAATTAAATACTTTCGGCAAACTTAAATAAAAATTTTTAAATAGCCCCAGTCAGTCAGCTACAACGTAGGACCAGGTACATATATGCATCGGTCCAAGTTTCCACATTTCATTAGAACAAGATGAATACCAAATTCATAGGTCCAGTTACTTCAATGGTAGTAATATATAAAAGATTGTGTATAAGGCTATAGTACAAGAAGAGTTATTTCGTAAAAAAAAGTATGAAGCAATTTTAATCTCATAGTTTAAGGGGAGACAAAGAGTGTATAAACCTACGCCATTGTGGTCGATTCTGAGCCATGCCACCTACAGTCTCTAACCATTGGTTACGATAGTCCCGCGGACCCCGGCCAAGTGGTTTGCACCTCCCAACATGGCTCAGACTAGAAGTTGGTGACTTCAATGACTGATAAACATACCTGTTCTAAAATCTGACGAATGACGAATATGTAGTCGATGCAGCCAAAGCCATGTCTGATTTTCTCGTGTTTTCAGTTCACGAGTCTTAGATGTCCGATAATTATTGAGGTTAGTATTTTAGACGCTATATCAGTCAAACTAATCCCTCTATGGTTATCATGGGATGATTTCGACCCCTTCTTATGTGTTGGGACAATCACTGATTGTGACCAGTCAGATGGGATTACGTCCAACTCCTAGATTTCAACTAAAAATTCTTTGGCTGTGCTGTAGCCAACATTCTACACGCTTTCAACAGAAGAATATTTTTCAACCAAGATCACTACTTTTATTTACCCTTTCTCCCATTATTATTATTTCTTGAAAAACTATGTTCCGTGCATAATGTCCTAAGTAGTGCATATGATAATAGGGAGGGAATAATTCTGTCATCACCTGTGTTCAAAGTGGAAACTCGGTACAATGAGCGCAAAAACCATTTATCTGAAGACATGTTAAAATCAACCTGTGACATCCATAGAGGATTAGTTTACCTATATAGTATCTAAAATACTAGCCTCGATAATTATAAGACGCCTAAGACTCGTGAACTGCAAACACGAGAGAATCAAGCTGGCTTTAGACCTTGTCGTGGCTGCATCGACCACATATTCACCATTCGTCAGGTTCTAGAACACAGGCATACTTATCGGCGTCCGACAATGGTGGTCTTTCTCGACTTAAAAGCAGCATTTGACTCTGTAGACCGCGAGATTCTGTGGCAGTGTCTGTCATTGAAAGGCGTACGTCAGAAGTACATAAACCTTGTGAAGGCTCTTTACTCGAACACTACTAGTCGAGTCAGAGCTTATGGCGAACTGTTATCTGCTTTTGCAACCTCGAGTGGTGTCCGTCAAGGCTGTCCACTTTCTCCATTTTTGTCTAACTTCATCATAGACCTACTGATGGGAATAACATTTTCATCTACTGAATTCTCGGGTATTGATCTCCTTCCAGGAGGTCCACTTATCGACTTAGAATACGCAGATGACATAGTCCTGTTTGGTGAAGACGCTGACAAAATGCTGAGTCTTTTGGTAGCACCAAGCAACAATGCCAGAATGTTTGAAATGCGCTTCTCTCCCTCTAAATGCAAGCTGCTGCTTCAGGACTGGCCTGCATCAACACCTGAACTAAGGACAGGGAGTGAAGTAGTCGAACGCGTTGACAACTTCACTTATCTTGGAAGTCTGATCAGCCCTAATGGGTTGGTGTCTGACGAAATCTCAGCACGGATTCGGAAAGCTCGTTTGGCTTTTGCCAACTTACGTCACCTATGGCGGAGGCGAGATATCCTTCTATCAATAAAAGGACGAGTATACTGCGCGGCAGTTCGTTCTGTTTTAATTAACGGCAGCGAAACATGGCCATTAAGAGTAGAAGGCACTCGTAAGCTACTAGTATTTGACCACAGATGCCTTAGAAGTATTGCTGACATCTGCTGGGATCACCGGGTGGGGTTAGAAATGGTCGACCCTAAAAATGCACACCTCGCCTTATCCCACGGATATCCGTCTCCGCCGGTAAGGTCTCAACAAGTGTGTAGCTAACACAAAAATTACCCATAAAAAGGTCGTGTGTGACCGACCTCAAGCAGTTGTCCCTTGGGCACTGCGGTCACGCTCTCAGGTCACTAAGACCACCTCTAATCCAATTTCCTTTTCAGGTACCTCCAGAAGAACCCTTCCACGGTGTGGGCAACCGGGAAATGATAACCGCCCTCATACCTCTAACAGCACTCAAGACCACTGTATTCATAATCAACCAAGGCCGGGTAAGTAATAGTGAGGTTAGATACAGGGCATTAGGGAATGATGGTAAGTCGGTTGATGGAGTTGTGAATCTTCATCTACTGAGATGGTTGAGCCACGTGTTGCGTATGCCTGAACACCGATTACCACGACGCGCAATGCTAACCGGTGTTGGGGATGGTTGGAAGTTAGGTGCGGCCAAACCAAAACGTGGCATCATTGCCTAAAGTTACTAACTTCTAGTCTGAGCCATGTCGGTAGATGCAGACTACTTTACACTACAACCAAGTTGTCTGCATCTACCGACATGGCTCAGACTAGAAGTTAGTAACTTTAGGCAATGATGCCACGTTTTGGTTTGGCCGCACCTAACTTCATATCTTTCATTCTACGAACTAATTCTTTCTTCCTGTATTATATCCTTATTGCAATCTTTCTTTTACATATTACCACCTCTGAATTAACTACTTTTGAATCCGGTGTCCATCTTGTTGTGCTAATGAGGTATGGCAACTTGGACCGATGCATATATGTGCCTGGTTCTACGTTGTAGCTGACTGACTGAACTAACGTTTGAAGATTTTAGGTAACATGGATCAAAATCGATTGCGACGGCGCAAATGCATTCATCCTTAATCTTAAACGAAGTCTTGAGTATTGACATCGTTTTTATTTCATAATCTTTTATTTCATTCACTCTTTTGAGAGTACATTCCTCAATGTTTACCTTCATTAACACTATGATTGTGTCAACTTCTTTGGTCTTTATTTTGTAAATTTCCTCTTATTGTGTCGTTGTGATGCCAGATGACTTGAAGCAACGCACAAATTAAGTTAGGAATTGTAGTTGATTGTCCACACTTGGAACAAAAACTGAATTAACAGTGTAAGTCTTGCCAAAATAAAGGCATGATAGTAAAGGCAAGGGGAGTTACACGAGGATGATTATGTGACCTTTTGTGATTAGTTTTTGACGTATCCGCACATCTTTCACACCTTATCGCCAGCATTAAAAATGTTTCGGTGGTCTAATTTCAGAATTTGCCCTCCTGTTGTGGAAAAGGAGTAGCATCTCAAACATTTCTACCAGGCCCTAAGCTTTCGCATGACTAAGTGGTTGGAGTTCGAAACTTACGACGATTCTGTACTCTTAGTTCCGTATGGAACCAAATCCACTATCTATGAACGCGTACAATACTATAAAGTCCAGTTTTTTTTTTAAAGACATTTCCTGTCTAAAGTACTGTAAGCGAAGTTAATAACGTTTTCTTGACTGTTTCAATACATGAGAGCATTGTTCAAATCATTTACCCAGTTAACATTTTTCTCTAAGAAAAGGGGTTGATAACTTCATGCTCGACTCTCTTCTTTCATCTGAGCTTAAGACGGGTAGTAACGCAAGAATGACTCCAGACGTAACATTGCACTGCATGAGAAAAACGCATTTAACAAATACCTATTCTTCATTTGGAAAACCGGGTTTTCATCTGGACCTAATAAAACCACAAGTCACTGACTAATAAGATCCTTTAAGCCTTATCAAGATGTTAGTGATACACTGATAAATTTCAATTGAAAGTAACTATTTATTATTCTACATTGGTAATGAGATTTTACTGAGTTTCTTACAGCGTAGAATCTAAGCAGATATCTGGCACTTAGACCTGACCAATAGATGTTTTGGAAGAAGTTGAGTATGCGGTTAAGGAATTCAAAACCATATTTTGGCCATTACTCAGTTACTTTTTGTCACATTCGTCACCTTTTGTAAATAAACATGTGTTTGTAAATACTAATCGCGGTAGAAAACAAATCAGCATGTAAAGAAAACTTGCAGATCTTCTACGTTTGATGTTATGCAGTAAGAACAAATTAGGTCCATGAATATGTCAACTACATAATTCAATCAACGTAGAAACTCAGTATGCACAAGCGTACCACTGGTTTTAATGCAAGAATTAGTGTGATGAAAGCCCACCACATAAGATGAATTTCAAATAATTGGGATGAGTAATTTGTGCTTACCTGTATCCCCTATAATTATATACTTAAATAGATAGGCGTACGACATCCTCACTAACAAGAAGTTAATATTAGCGCTATATGGTGTTTGCAAACTTATTTCAACCTTTGAGTAAAGGCATTTTATTATGAATTTGAATAAATAAAAACGCGTTTACAAGAAAATGTTATTTTGTTTAATCGACCAATTATTAAATTTGCGACACGTATTGGTGACGTCCTTCGATGCATTAGTTTAATCATGTTGTCTTGTAACTTTGCGTATTATTCATGGATCTTACTTCTATGTGGCAATTATAGTAAGTTATCTATATATCACTACTAAGACGTTTTTAAACTATTTACTAACTTCCACATTTGCTGTTAAAACCAGGCTCAGTCATTGCTATTGATAACCATTTTAACTGTGTTTAGAACTTGACGTTGCACTTTTCTAGGATAAGGATAGGTGGCCAATTAATCGATGTTAATTCTCGTTATGAACGCATCCAAAATGTCTCTTATATTGCATACTCATAGAATCCCAGTCATTTACGGTTCAGTCTGAGGAAAAATCTCCAGATGTTAATCATCTGACCTTAGTTTTTAGAATTTCCGGAATTGTCTTCGTAAATGATAAGTCATGAATAACAGTTAGAGGTTCGATATAAGTGCATAGGTCGTCAACCAGTAAACTATTTGCTTACTTAAACGATAAGCCACTTCTTAACATGATAAGATATCAATGTGGGTTAAAACGTCTCAGTCTGTGCTCATACGGTAGGTCTAAAAGAAACCCTGAGCTTCCAATTTTGGGGAAGCTCCCGAAGTCAAATGACCTTGACCAAGGTTAAGGGTAAATTTAGGAGGTTTTGTGCCATTTCCCCAAAATTGGGAGCTCGGGAACTATCATGGTCTCTCCCCATTAAACCCGTCCTAATATGTCGGCTTTTTATTCGAAAGGTGCTTATCCCTTAAGTCCTACTTTCTATATTGCAACCTCTGTTGTGTCCAAATTAATGTTCCAAACATTCCTTCCTAATTTCAAAACGCTTCATGTATAGCTCACAAAATTCGGGACCCTTTATCTGCAGCCGCTTTACAATTACTCATAGTTATGGTGTCATTGTCTACGGTAATTTAGTTACTATAATTCGTAGCCTTATTAAAAGGTATTCCATCTATTAGGTAGTGACGTGAAACGTCGCGTTGGTCGACATTGGTTGCTACACTTCCGTCCAAGTCCGCTTCCACTGACTTACCTAACTGGTTCATTCAAACCTCCCCGTGATCCCAACTTATCATCCTCAATTTTTATGCGTTTTGAAATGTTTATGCTGTATGTAAGAAATAAAACCGATGGCTTCCCTATTTTGGCTAGGTCATTTACGTATAGTAAAGAAGAAAAGGTTCCTAGAATTGTCTTTTACAGTGCTTCACAGACTTCCATGCAGGCATATCACCCTTCTTACTACTACCACTATTACTACTTTATGGCAGTGAAATATGGCCGGTAAGAGTAGAGGATATTCGTAGGTTACAAGTATTTGGTCATAGATGTCTTAAAAACATTGCTCGTACATCCTGGGACCATCGAGTAAGTAACGCAGTTGTTAGGAAATGGGTACTAGGTAAGGATGGCAAATCAATTGATGAAGCAGTGAAAATTCATCAGTTGAGATGGCTGGGACACGCGTTACGTATGCCCAACCATCGACTGCCTCGACGTGCGATGTTCAATGGTATAATAAGTTGGAAGAAAGCTAGGGGCGGCCAGACTAAAACATGACACAAGTCCATGAAGTGACTGACAAATGAACTGAACCATATTGGTAGGTGTAGACTACCTGGTTGGGAACCGCGAGATAACAGCAAGCGATGGTTAGAAACCCTGAATGACATGGCTTAAGATCGTTTGCAATGGCGCAGGTGCATCCACTCTGTGTTCTCCCGAATTCTTCATGTCCCTTTTTTCCCTCTTTCCAAATTTGTTTTACTAGACTATACTCCTTGAATAACATCTTCAAACCCTAGTCTTTCCGATTACTGCTTATACTCTTACCACCTCTACCACTATGGGATTTGAATCGACAACTGCATCTCTGTGCTAATGTGGTGTGGCAACTCGAACTGGTGTACGTACGTACGAAGTTCTACATTGTTACTGACTGATATCACCTTTCCCTCGCAATTTACTTATCTTTGAGACAGTAACTAATCTCATATCTAACTGTACAACCGATACTGGGGCTTTCCAGCTTCACTCTAATACCCGTAAAACAGAACTTGTCCGAGGCTTTACTAAGATTTATAAAGACTACACTCACTATGATTTTTCTCAATGCAGTCTAGTCTTTTGCAGTGAAATTAGTCAAATGTGAGTAAAAAAACTTGTCAACTTTCCAGAACTGATTACAGAGACCTTATCTTTGATATGTCATGGTGTTTGTTCAGAATTCGTTGAAGACCAACAAGTTTGTTCATTGATTAAAATACCACTATCCTTTTTAAATAGTCCACCTTCTACAACGCAAAAAAGTCGAATATACATGTCTACACAAAATTGTGTAACAGTTGGGAAACTATAGAATTGTCCGACCCGAATGTGACACAGATGTTCGTTATCGTTCTTGCCAATTAGCTTCTAGAAAAGAGCAGCAATTCAAAAATATCCCTAGCCTGGCTTTTAGGAACTTCTTAGTACTAACAGAAAACCTAGTTTGTTCGCTGGCATTATCAAGTGTTACCATGCTCGATGCGTCTCCAGATAGATTGAATGTATCGCAACATCGAACCAACCTGAAGAACGTCAAGTTGACCTCATCAGTATAAATGTTTAATTACTAGGGAAGATTGTTTGTGTTACCATCGCATGCCATATTAACGTATTCAAAGAAAGATCAAGCTGATGAAAGCAATATTAGGGTAAACATCTTTCTTAGTGTCCATTTCTATCAGAAGCGATTGTTAAGTATTATAGCTCTACCATCATATTTCAAACCTAATTTCCAGAATGGAGTTCAGACAGCAAATTCGTGTACACTTCCAAATAACAAAAACAAGTGATAACTGATCCACCTCATCTTTAAAGGTTGGTTGCTTATTCAAGTCATCTTCAGCCACTTTAACGTAAGATTTTGCACCTAGTCTGTACATCGACTATGTTCAGTTAACCTGTGGTATGAACATCCTTGGAACATTTAAAAAGTTATTACTTTTGAGACTAGTGCAGAATACTTACCACATGATATATCTATCTGGTCATAATCAAAGCAATATTTATAATTTATACGTCTTGTTTGGATCTCTGACGTAATTTATTAACTTTGTACTTTCAAGTACTTAATTCTTTTGCCGAGGACGCAACTATTTTGTCTGAAGAAGACTCCACGCTCTTACCTTCTGTAACAAATGAAGACGATAGATTCAAGGGATCCCCAGCTGTTGGTGTCTTGGTAGCCCTTAGTAAACCTCCATATGGTCTTTACTCTGGACGTCGTGAAATAAACTTGCCCGTCGGAAAAATCTCATCCCTTGTGGCTTCCTTGGCTAATACCAACCCGACAAACGGTGAACAATTTAAACTCGATTTTATAGAAGGAGCACTTCACTATCCTATGTACTATGACTATCACATTCAGAACTTTACCAAGCAACGCCTCCATGAGACATTAGATCCCGGCCAAGAGGTTTGTTTGGTTCCGTTTACCAAATAATTTTTAGACCTCCCTTTATTACAGATTCAAACCCGCTCCTGAATTAGCTGGTCGATCTTTTGACCTGTCTATTGTTGTCTACTATCATGACAATAATGACATTTATTATGCTCATAAGTTATTTAATCAAACTGTTAACGTAGGTTATTTATACTTTGTAATCGTTCCCTACAGTTGTTTGAAATCGAAGAAGGTGTAGACACTGAATTGATTTTCTTGGTTATCTTAGTAATTGCCTTGAGTATAGCAATTCTAATTGGTATCTGGCACTGGTTCACCTCAATCGCTCAAAAAACGACAGCCAGCCAAAAAGTCTTCAAAAGTGGTCGAAAATGATAGTGAAAATGCAGTCGAGAACGAATACCTGGCACTAATAAAAAACAAGCCTCAAATTAAAAAAGGTAGTTTATTGTTTGGAAAAGTTGAATCATCTTTTATGCTACAATTAATTCAAACAAGAGCATGTTGCATTAATTTAGAGTTGGTTGCCTTAAATATTATCGCATTCAGAAACCCCATGCTTGTCTAAGATCAATGCGTGACGTAATCTGCGAAGATTCAACAATCTCCACAAGCTTCTTATGTTATTCTACTATTACTTTTTTTCTATAGATCGCTCTGACCAAATAATTCGTCGGCACCAGGGTAGACGCTAAGTAACCGAAGATAGTACACACTTAAGCTCAACTACTTTCGACTTTCTCACTCGTGTACACATGTCATCTGTAAAAATCTGCATACAGTCTATTTTTAAACTGCGTTTAAAATAACCACTTTTTATCTTTCTGTACTGTTTGATCAGTCTTAAGTTGTTCCTGCTAATAAAACCCTATCTGGTCAAACATGTACTGTTCTAGCAATTCGTAAGTGATCTTGGGAATAAGTTCAACTTGTTTTTTCGAGTAATAAACTCATATTAACCAATTGCACTCAAGTGGTATGATTTAGTGGTAGCTACATATTTTTGGTTATTCTGTGTAAGTTCAACCCAATGTTAACGTCACATATTTTTCAGTTACTTGTACGAATATTTCTTGACCTAGTGACACTTCAGGTCCTGGATGTCGTGCAAAGTAATCGGTTTCGATCCGCCACATCCTCTACATACATATTAAACACTTTAAGACAATGCACAAATTAGTTTATGTAACCAGTAACTTGGATTGAATGATTTACTGATATGTTGAACAATAGTTAAAGAAAAAGCAGCATTATGTGTTTAATACTAAATAAGAAAATAGTGTCACTGGTCTTTCTCAGTGTTTTTATTTGATATACGCAGGGTCCGAGTAAAAAACTTCGGTATTCCTGGCCGAAATTTTGATGCGAAAGATCGAAGAATAGTTAAAGGATACCAGAGGATCCAAACAATGACCTGTAAAAAGAAAAGTTGTTCCACCTTTCACAATTATCCGAAGATTTTGAAACTCGGTACAAATCATTTGTAAGATAAATTTAGCTGAATCTTCTTAATATAGAAATGGTAAGGCAAGTTACGTTGCTTGCGACTGTTGCATCTTAAGATTTTAGTCTCAGTGGCATCCTTGAACAGTAAAAGAACAATGATGTCAGTCTTCGAAAACGTAGAATAGTTACTGCAGTTTTAATCAGAATCAAGATGGCCTCAAAAGAGTGTACTACATACTAATTAGTTGCTTATATTCTCTAACAACAAACTATGATAAGCCTTTATTTTGAACTCCCACAAATCATAAGCTTATCTTAAAAAGGTTAGGGGAACTTTGTGATGGTGAACATATGTAGCTCAGGAGGACTTTGCAGTTGTGTTTCAAGCTGGGTAATTTCGTCGTGGAGTTTCTAGTGTATTTTCAGACAGCATCGTTAAGAAGTACTTTAAGAAAAGTGTGCTGCTAGAATCTCTTCACAACCGACCACTGAGAATGTGCCATGAATAGGAATGTCCAAACTAATACCCAGAGATCATTATTGGATCTTACAAAGGATTTGTCACTTAAAGTTACGACTCGATGAAGATCATAATTATGTGCGGTGAACAAGTGTGCACAACTAAACATTACTGTTCAACAAGTCATAAGTGAGGGTGTATTATTAATTAGCATAGATGTTATATAGATGCAATGGTTTAGTGTTGAAAGCATGTTTCGTTGGTTGGGTAGTATTGCTAGACCTCATACAAGCGCCTTTCAAAGTCACATACTTAAAGCTGCAATTGTGACATTATTTATTTTTTCAACACAAATATTGGTACAAAGGCGCACCGAATACATATGTACTACACAAGTCACTTGATTTGTGTGTGGACCACGATAGTGCACGGGTGCCCAGACCGAAGCAGGTGGTTTTCTTACGGGACCACACCCGGAGACCTCGTTCTAGAAATATGATCCACAAGGCAATGGAGCAACGCCAATAGATGGAGTCCTATAGTAGCCGGTGGTCAACAATTGGTTCATACGGCATTTGTCCCCTCAGGATACTGGAGCCCGTGTGCATCACTGGTTCGCGATCAAGGTTTCCCAACTTCGCTAGGTAAACTTTCCGTGTCCACCAACCCAGGTTAAGCACCGGCCATTCGCTTTTCGGTGCCGCGAGGATGTAGTGAGTACGACTTCACTGGTAGTGGCTGTATACGCCTGACCATATATGATCATTTAGCCAGGGATAGCAGACTATCCCAACCCTCAGCCGTAACAGGGCATTTGGGGGCTAATTCAGCAATACTGACACCAGGTACTGTATAATTTCTTCATTGGCAGAAAAAACGCTCACTGCTCATAATGGTTGTGTACTAACGCCGTGTATGTATTAATCGCACATTCACTAATCGGTAATAATTCACTATCTTTATTCAAAAATCATGCTCACCATATAAGTAGAACACAAGACTCAAATGTGCGTCTACATAGATTGATTTTTATCACATAAGTATTTACGATATGGTTTTACTTTGAGATACAAGGCAATTCAGTTATCATGTATGGTGAGTAGATTTCGTTACGACCAATGCATGTTGTGATACTTTAGTTGAGTCTTGTGAACGTACTTATCAGGATGATCTGGTTTTTTGTTAACAATTAAGTGAGCTTATGATGTGTCTGACTGGTTAGTAAATAACCACTTAACTAATCATCAAGTGCAAACAGAAGCTTTTAGGCATGCTTTCTAAAAGTTAAGGATTGAGAAAAGTCTTACCTTTAGTATTCCTTTAGGATGCAGATTTGGTGCGATAAAGCAAACGAGTATTAAGAGATAAACCAGACACAAATCACTAATATGTAGTCCAACAAATCCAACTATGCACAAAAGAGATGAACTAGTTAGGAAATGTAGAGTCGCGTTTCTATATCGAACTTTATGCACAAAAACAAAGAAGTTGATCAGTACATGACGCATGTGGACAAGACGTCTACAAAAATTCCAATAACACCAGTGATCCTCGTAACTTGGAGGTTTATTGAACACTCTGCGGTTTAGTTAATTAGTTGATAAGTGGATCTTACCTAGACAAAACTAAGGGTCCGAAGTAGTCTATTAAGCTTAAAAGCAATCCTGAACAACCAATAACCAACAGGACCGGTGGTTCGTACACGTGAACCAACAGAAACAAACTAGTGATTGCAAATATCACAAGCAATGTTGATCGAGGGTTTTTCCAACTCAGTATATTCTCAGATTTTACTATTAGACTGAACCAGTCTTCAAGATCCAACATTAAATTTCTGACTTCTGGTTCTACAACTATGTTTCTCTCGATTTCGAAGACGTCCCGTGTTCTTCTAAGAGTCTTCATTGCAGTAGAGTTGATCGGAAGATTATTATGAAGCTTGTATTATTTACAACATTTTACCTAGGAAGATATTCCGAGCACTAAAATTAGTAAATGAGACAATTACATTTTCATTTATTAGTTAAACATGGAAACGCTGCTAGATTGACGATTTTTGGTTCCTTCTAGATATAAAGTCCCTCAATAGTCGCGGTAAATTGCTAACTGGCTTTTCCAGTCTATCCATAGTTTCCGTACAGAACTGGGAGTGTACAAAGTGCGGTGGCACCCTAGTGCTATAATCACTGTAAAGTGTGAGGAATGGGTAACGGCCTATTAACGTATACCGCCGCATATCAGGGCACTAAGAGATGAGCTACCGGTTGGTAGCTTAAAGGTTTTCTTCGTTAATCCCATTTAAAATTGGTATAACGTGAGCCAGCTTCCAATTTACTGACACTATGCTCCAGCCGAGCGAATGTGAGAACATCACGATAAGCAGTGTTGCCAAGATTGAAGTCACTCCCCTAAGTATAGCAGAATGAACTATATTCAGGCCAGGAAAAGTGTCCTTGTTTAGATGCTACAGTTTATGATGCACCAAGTTAGCGCTTAGGTTTACTTTCGAGAGTCCTGTCAAGTTATAGGTGAAGCTCTCATCGATGTTGTTAGTATGTGACGGTTGAAATGTTTGACGATACTGTTCTGTCAAAAGGTCGGCAGTGTCGCCGTCGTTGTTTGTTGGGACATTAAGACCTAACAATAAGAAAACATCGGTCTTGGCTTGTTGAAGGGAGGCCGCAAGACGGAAGAAGTTTTTCAAATTTCAGATAAATTTACCTAGTAGCTTTATCTGATACTGAAGCTTGTCTTCTCTTATCACAACTTTGCATTGCTTCCTTGTTTGTTTGAACTGCCTATATGTACAGTTGTCACTAGTTCGGCTATATTCCGCCCAGTAGTGTCTTTCGCATCTTAGCAATCGCAAAGTGCGATTCTTGATGAATGTAGATTGCTCGTAGTTTTTGGGGACAGTTGGCGGAACAGACCGCTTTGTATCACATAAGATCAGGTACATTAAGAAAGCCCAATGAATGTTTACACCAAGTTGAGAGAGGGCTTCCCAGTTTACTTGCTGTAGATTGACCTGTTAAGTTGACACATCCAACAGTTTGTAGTACCAGTGCCTGTTGTTAGCTCAAATTCGCTGATAAGGTTGAAGGCTACGACGGCGTGATCGCTTCTCCCCAGGGGAGCCAGGATTGAGAGGTTGTCAATTGGGGATTATTTATATTAAGTCTTACCTTATGGGTTTTTATAGGTTTTTGTGGCCCAATGTCTGACTCCATTTGGATTGTAATGGATAATTGTTACCGAATTGACATCCTGACTATTCTCGAATATAACTATCGACTTAAATCGCGTTAGTGAATAACGGAATTAAATAAGTCATATATCAGTTTTAGTTTGGGAAGGACAGGAGGCTTGATGGCCTATGTTAGTCCTGGCAATGGTGGTCTCTCATAAGATCCAACTTTCTTTTGAAAGAGTCGATGGAGGGAGCCTCAACCACGTGCTGAGATAGTGAATTCCACTCAATGATTCGATGGGAAAGTCGATAGTCAGCTGACAAGTAATTTGTTCTCGGCTTGTGAACGACTGCGGACAAATGAGAATGGATTTTTGGATACGCCTATTGTGTACACTCATTGATTTGAACAGTCATATGGATGAAAAGAAGAGAGCAGATCAAAATGACACACATAAAGGAGTGTGAGTCAATTTAATTTAACCGAGCATGAATCGACATTTGTAGTCCAACAAGAATAATTCACAGACAAGTGCACACACACGCTCAAATAAAAGCAATCAAGGTTGATAGATAAATAAATGACAAAGTCAAGACGTGACTAAAGTAGAATGGACAAATCGGCCTGTCCAGAAGCTAGAATAAGTTATGTGAGCTTAACATAGTGACCGACACTACAAGGCGATCGTTAAGTCGACTTGACGATTTTAGACTTTAAAGTATTGATGTGTGCTTCTGGAAGTTCACGACCCAGTATGTGAAGCAAATTTTTGAATGTGGACGATTAGCTGCTGAGCTAGTCCAAGCGACTTCTCAGGAGTCCTTTAAGAGAAAACTTGACATATTTTTAAGGACTAAGGATAATACCTTACCAGAACTAACCAATTTCTTCTTCCTCTTTCAACGTTAATATACTAAGGTTCCTGCTTAGAGGTATTCATGATCCACTGTTAATAGACACAGAAGTCAGTTAAGCGAAATTTCGCTTAAGCTTCTTTTCCGTACACATGTGTACGGAATGGTTGCAACCATTTGAACCCATAGAATGAAGCAGAATACTTCAGATGCTAAAAGCAGTAACCCCAAATATGATTTCGCAAGTGGATAAGGTCATGTTATTTTATTTGCTTTGATTTTTTATTACCTAAAATACTACAGAATATACAGAGAGAGTAGATACATTCACCCAACTGCATTATATGAAATGTATTTAGAAGAACTAAATTGTAAATATTCAAAAACAACTCACAGACTGAGAAACACATCTACGAACGGAATTACTATCACTTACGACTGTTGCAGTTTTATTAAAGACCTTGAGGTAATGAGACTTTTAAAATGTTGCACTGGTTTATACAACCTTCAAAGTTTGCCGAAAATAATTGAATAGTCGTTTTTTCTGACCTAGGTACGGATTACAAGTGAAGTTTGTTAGTAGCGGAGAATTTCGTATTGCAAAGACCAACCATATTCTACCACCACGTACATCCTTGGAGGTGTAATGGAATACTGCAGTAATGCCTTTTTAATTATTGAAAAGGATGTGGGTATCAGTATTTGTAGTACTCTTGATATTTCTTGTATATAAGATTTCACGGATATTAAGGGATGGTTATTATTGAGGTTTTTCAGAGTAACTGGCTGCCAAGCTCAGTAACGAGCTCGTTTCAAAAGTACAGTGATTTTTGTACTTGTTGTGATTATACTTGCTTTTGGTACTTATTGCATCAAGAAGCATTCTCGGTCTACTTTAACTAAAGGTGCTTTGGTTAAAGTTTGAAATTCTTTTGCTAAATTTTGTCCTATGTACCTTTTTTTACTCCTAGACTAATACTTGTGTTCACATTGTGATCATTTTGTGTTTTTAAACCTTTTAAATCGAATTACAATGGTTGGTAGGACTCACAAATGCGGGCAACCAAATTGTTTGTTCCTCGTTGAGTAGGGAATGCAGTGTGATGACTGTAAAAAGTGGTACCACAAAATGTGTACACGCCTAAGTCCGATGGCGTACAAAAGATGCTCGAAGCCTAACTCGCATTGGCTTTGTATGTTCTGCTGTGCGGATAAAAAGGTACTAACCCAAGAGGCTATGGGCCTATTGGCTTTGGTCTGCAAGAAAAACGATGACACATGCGCTGACAACACCGGCACTGGCAGTGACGAATGTGTCAGTGTAGTATCTGCTGTTACGCGACGACTCAGAAAACCGACTCTGACCGACGCAAAAGTGAGATCTCCTTTAACATTAACAAGGGGAGTAATACCACCTGTTACTGACATTGATAACAATGCATCTTTAGTGGGAACTGACGAACTGGATAAAACAATCACCGTTCCAAATAGTCCCAATGTCCTGAGGGATGAAAAATGGACTACGGTACGTAGGAAACGAAACGAAAGGAAAAAAGCTGTAGGCAGTACACAGGGTAGTTAGTAACTCACTGATGGACTCTCATTATGAGTCACAAACCTCACTGCCAAAATCTGATAGTAAGAGTGAAACCCATCCTGGCGTGACTGAGAAGAAAAATCGAATAACAGCTAAAACTAATGACTGTTTACTTGATAAGTCCTTGGTGGACTCTCAGACCAATCCGCCAAAGCTCCAAGGCAAAGCTTCGTCTAACACTGTTGTGTGTCACTCACAGGACTCTGTTACAATAAAAGCTAATCGTATGATACCAGTAGTTAATATACTGGATCTTTTGTCACGGTCGAAAGCTGTTAACACGATTTCAAAGGAAGCTAAACCCCTCCTTAGTTTAATTATTTGGAATCTAGAGGAGTCGAAAGACAACGACCCTGCTAGAAGACATGCACATGACCTACAGTTAGGGGTGTCTGTGGTAAGGAACGTACTACCTGAAGAGGTTTCAGGGGTACATATCACAAAGGTAATACGAGTTGGTAAATGGGTTGGAGGCGAGACCCAACCAAAAAGAATCCTGAAGCTGGTTTTCGGGAGTTTCGAAGAAAGAGACATATTATTGAAAAACGCACTAAAAACTCGTGACTCAAATGTCCGTATACGACCAGATTGGCCGCTTGAGGGTCGAATCAAGTGGAAGAGTGCTCTTACGGAGTTGGGGACTAGCAAATTAAATGGCGAAAATAACCTTACCATTAAGGGTTTTCGGGTAGTCAGGTCCTGGAAGCCAATGCTTCCGAGGCCTGTATGGGTAGAACGATTGATTGCCAAAACATCTTAAGCGTGTGCTACACGAACGCTCGTAGTCTTAGAAATAAAACGTCCAAGCTAAGTCTGATGGTGGAAGAATTATGTCCCGATATAATCGTTGTTACAGAAACTTGGTTCACAGTAGATATGGACTGTTCTCCGTCCATTGCAGGCTATATCTGTATTAGAAGTGATAGAGTTTCAATTCGCAAAGGAGGAGGTATAATATTATATGTTAGGGATCACTTTCGTATACAATCAACCATATTGGAGGCTCATATCAGTGGCACATGTTGGGTTGCGTGTTTTAAGATTAAATCAAGAAGTGGGTTAGTGACTATAGGGGGAATATACCGTAGTCCGTTTTGTCTTGCTGATGACTTTATCCTAAGACACATCTGTTCTTGGAGTATGGCAGAATGTTGTCTCATCATTGGGGATTTCAACGCACCGCATATCAACTGGATAAAGCTTACAGCTCCAGGTAGTGGTTTCGATAGCGACCTTTTATCTACCGCTATTCAGTGTGCACTTGTACAATGTATCACAAAACCGACACATATTGATTTGAATCATGATCCGTCACTGCTGGACCTCGCCCTCACCCACCACTGTGAGGATGTCCTTGACATCCAGCACCTTCCCCCACTAGTGAACAGTGATCACGTTGTAATTCACCTTCAGTTTAGGACACATGGTATCGTATCTAACTATCTGCCTGTTAGTCTAACTAGCATAGTCGTTAAGTTACTTGAAATGATAATTCGGGTTAGGTTGCTAAGCCACATAGATTTACACAATCTGTTAGCTCCTGAGCAACACGGATTTTGTAACAAGCGCTCATGCTTGACTAACTTGCTTATTGCGAGGGAGGATTGGACAGCAGCCCTAGATAACGGTCTGTCTGTCGATGTGATATTCATAGATTTTAGCAAGGCATCTAACAAGGTCTCACACGTAGGTCTTATGCAGAAGCTTACGGGTACTGTACATGAGTGGATAGGAAATTTCTTATGTGACCACAGACAGAGAGTGAGGGTCAACGGAACGCTATCCGACTAGAAGCCGGTCAAAAGTGGTGTACCCAAAGGCGCCATCTTAGGCCCTCTCCTCTTCCTTCTCTACGTAAATGAGTTGCCGCTGTTACTAAGGTCGTCGACATTATTGTTTGCGGATAATGTAAAAATCTGGAGAACAATAAAAAGTGCGGCTGATCATCTGGATCTTCAATCTGACTTAGACGATTTAGTTGGATGGGCTCGAGAGTGGGGGTTAGAAATCAATGCTAGGAAGAGTGTGGTAATGCACATCGGTCACGGTAATAGTTACCGTTACACTATTGAGGGTAAACCTCTTCCATGCGTTGAAGAGCATAAAGACTAAGGAGTAATAATAAGTCATGATTTAAAAACAACTTCGCATTGCAAAGCAGCCGCTGTCAAAGGTTTTCGAGCGTTATGGTCACTTCGCCGAGCGTTCAAATCTTTTGACGAGGAAACGTTTCGAATTTTATATCCCAATTATGTAAGACAACACTTAGAGTGCTGTATTCAAGCAGCTAACCCGTGTCTGGTAAAGGATACTAACTCCCTTCAGCGCGTCCAGCGTGTGGGAACGAAATTAGTGAAGGGTCTTTCTAGACTCCCTTACGATGAGCGTTTAAAACGCCTTAATCTTTTCCCTTTGTCGTATAGTAGGACACGATGTGACCTTATACTGGCATTTCGTATCTTTAATTATGATTTGGGTGTTAATATGTCTTATCTCTTTGCTCCCTCCAGCACTAATAATCTCCGCGGTCATAGCAAGAAGGTTCATAAACCAAGATCTAATAAACTTAAAGTGGGGTCCCGTTTTTCTCATCAAGTAGTCAATCATTGGAACACCTCACCCGAACAAGTGGTATCAGCCCCATCAGTGAATACTTTTAAGGAGAAGCTGAACCTTCACTGGAAAGCAGTGTGTCAGGATTAATACAGGTTCATCAACCTACTATCCTTATTACTGAAGACTGAAATTATTTAAAGCTTTTTAGAAAAGTACACGCGCGCTCTTTACGGATAGGAAGTTCATTTCTAACGTAATTTGCATTTCTCAAACTTTTGCTGTGTCCTTACGCAACGAAAATACCATATTTTACTCAAAGAATCCACCATGAGCTTAAAATTCAGTAGATTACTTTTATTTTTGAGTTTTATTCACGTTGGTATATGACTGCGGTTTTGCCTCAGCTCACTATTTGGTTTTTTAGTTTTCAACGTCAAGAAATGGGGGGAGGAGTAGCCTTATACATTCGGTCTCTCTTGGAAGTACATTGACTGCACAACCAAGCGTTTTGCTGATATCGAGTACAACAATCGTACGCTGGAATTATTATCTTCTCGGATTCACTCAGATCCTAATTCTAGGACACCTCAATCTTCATAAAGTGAATTTCGCAGAACATACGTACAGTGGTGTTGAAAAACCAACTGAAGCACAGTTTTTCAACCTCGATGAAGATTTGGGGTTATTCGAAAATCTCAAGTTGTCAACACGTTCGAGAAAACGTTGGACGCCGTCGGGCTTAGACTGTTTATACCCAAACAAAGAATTACTAATGAGCAACATCTCAATCCTGGCTCCCCTGGGGAGAAGCGATCACGCCGTCGTAGCCTTCAACCTTATCAGCGAATTTGAGCTAACAACAGGCACTGGTACTACAAACTGTTGGATGTGTCAACTTAACAGGTCAATCTACAGCAAGTAAACTGGGAAGCCCTCTCTCAACTTGGTGTAAACATTCATTGGGCTTTCTTAATGTACCTGATCTTATGTGATACAAAGCGGTCTGTTCCGCCAACTGTCCCCAAAAACTACGAGCAATCTACATTCATCAAGAATCGCACTTTGCGATTGCTAAGATGCGAAAGACACTACTGGGCGGAATATAGCCGAACTAGTGACAACTGTACATATAGGCAGTTCAAACAAACAAGGAAGCAATGCAAAGTTGTGATAAGAGAAGACAAGCTTCAGTATCAGATAAAGCTACTAGGTAAATTTATCTGAAATTTGAAAAACTTCTTCCGTCTTGCGGCCTCCCTTCAACAAGCCAAGACCGATGTTTTCTTATTGTTAGGTCTTAATGTC